CAACAAAGGGAAATAATCTTATCTACCTCCTTTGCTTTTAGGTTTTGTTCTTATCTTCTGAAAAGATGTTTACACTTCATGCAAGCCTTCTAAACACTATTGTTCTTTTAACATAAGATAGCATTGTGCTGTTTGGCAATAAACTAAGCCAAATGCAGGAGTATCCAATAAGACAAGATTCATTCTTATAACCACTAACTAGCTCTACTATGAACATGCTGTCAATCCTATACACACTTATATTGGCGCAAAACTCATTGAACCAGTTCAGTATCTGAGTAAACACACATAGGATTGTACTGTAAGACTCAGTTGCCTCCAAAATCCAGGGTTAATGCACCAGTGTTGTGATGTTAAGTAACGCTATAGCACAGAAAGCTTTGCAAATGCTAAGCCTGACAGATCAAGGCAACCTCCATTGCAAGAACATGCCACTGCAATACAGATAGTGTGCCTAGATACCAAAGGGTAGAAGAGCTCTTGTAACTTTATACAAGGGAGCTTCAGTGAGTGCAACTCATCATGCAGGGATCAGGAAAGCTGTGACTGCTGAATTTTCCTCTACTTCTGCACAATGATTAAGAGGTACAGAATCTCTGGTCTCATTGCATCTGGTGATTCTAACAATAAGCTTTGCATGAGCTGAGCTGATAGATTGAAGGGGAACTCTTTGTATGATGAAATCATCAAATCTTGCAAGAGGTAAGTATGTTAAAATTAGAATGTACATATAATGGCATGGCCAATGGAAATTGTAGTCCAACAACATCTGGAGGGTTCTGTCTTACAAATAAGGGAAGATTGACAATGACCAGGTACGTGCATTGAGTAGCAGCGAGCATTACTCTTGACCATTCGTAAATATTAGAGTAAGCTGCAACAGAGATGGTGTGATCATGGTCCATTGTAATCAGTGGAAGTCATGCCATTGATTCTAGTGACAGATGGACTCTTACTGTTAATTGCATGCACTATTATTTCACACTAGCTAAATTTGATTAGAAGGGATGGGAAGATTCTACTCCTTACCTGAATCCTTCTGCTCTACCCCTCACCCTCCCATCCATCAATGAAGTCATGCCCTAGAATTGCCATGCAGGGTTGGGACGGTGAACTAGCAAGCATAATCTTGTCACATGCTGCTTTTTCATTTCCCCCATAGGAATGAATGTTAACCATTCACTTATACGACATGAGCTAAGGGATACAGTTTTTTATTATTATTAAAGATTTTCTTGTTTTACAGAAGTAAGTGTAACATCTCTCGTATTTTTTCCATGTAACATTTTTACAAATCCATTTCATTTGTTGAGACATTAGGGGTAGGGGGGGAAAGGGGGTGGAGGGAGGGAAGATGGGTGGGGGTGGGGTCGGGTGGCAATGTTTCTATTATGCTTAATGTATGTAGGGTTTGGTGTCAGCGTTGCTTGTGCTTTGCTTGTGTTCCTTTGGTGGTGAGAGAGGTTGGGGTTGGCCTAGGGTGTGGTTGTTTGCTTGTGATTGGCTGTGGTGATCTTTGCTTTCGTGTGAGTGGGGTGGGTGGGTGTTTTGGATCAGGTTAGCCATATTGATTTGTATGCTGTTGGTGGATTCTTGTCATTGTCTTGTTGGGCTGTGTATGTGATAAAGGGGAGGCATACCGGGGTAAAGGCATCTTCTTCTGTTTGACCCCGTGTCAGTTTCAGTTTATTGGTTAATTTTTCTAGTAGGGCTGTTTTCCATACTATTTGGTACCATTGGTCCATGCTTACTCCTGACAGGTCGCTCCAGTGTCTGGTTAAGCTAAGGGATACAGTTAAACCTTGCCCTGGTAATCCATGAATGTAAAATGAGAAGGTCCTCCTTTCAGCTGTGTCTCATAATGCTACCTGTTTATCTCTTGCACCACCAGAGCCATTACGAACTAAGCTAAACTGTATATGGATGGTCTTGTTTTTAGCCGTCTGGACAAAGCTAAGCCACAAGCCCTGGCTTAGGTGACACACTAAGCCAAATCATAGTCTAAGATCAGCACAGGAGCAGAATGACTGGAGGGGAGCAAAGCAGCGGCAATCTCCTCACCAGAAGCCTGAACATTGACTCATTCATGCTAGGTTTGGCTTTGTGTTATGTGCAAACTGGGCCATAATACCAAAAGGAAAGCTAACACTGTACAGTGTTCAACATGAGTCGGTCATTATGAAATATCCTTTTGTACCCTTTAGAAGAATCTTAAAATACAACAGAGTATCAGAACAAGAGATTCCAATCAGTTGCTTCAATTTGGTTCCCTTGATTTCAGCATTCTGCACCTTGGCTTGTTCAGATTCTGGTTTTGCCTCCCAAGGTTTATATCAGAAGGGTACATCTCTTGGTGGAGGTGAGACACACATAATAATGCAAACACAGCTTAGATCCCATTGAACGTGAAAGCTCATACCGCAGCCCTGCACCTACAGTATGCGTGCATCTGAATAACATACTGTAATGCCTTTCCCATTATGAAGCTGTCTGGATTTGTTGGCAGGGAGGAGAAGCATTACAGTTTGGTTGGACACCTTTTTTAAAAGATGAAAAACTATCCCAGGGAGGCTGATGCATCAGCTTTGTTGCATCTTCTGTGCCTGAAGCTTTCAGTAAACAAGCAGCGACATGAATGAAATCTCCCCAGCCAAAGACTGCGTTGAGCAGCTCCCACGTAACAAAATTTTATTTCTTCTCTCTCTCTGTCTCTCAGCTTCAGTTACAGTTCTACCATTTCCTGTGGAAAAACGAAGGCTTTTGAAGTGTGTGTGTGTGTGTGTGTGTGTGTACGCAATATGCAGCCCAAACATATGAGAAGCCTCTACAAAAATATACACAGCAGCGAAGAGGGAGACAAAACAGAGGTACTCAGCCAAACACTCGGTCCTGGAGTTCACTGCAGATGTTATAGTAAATAATGCTCAGAGACGTCCCCCTCCCCAAATATCTCTTTCCTCCCTCCCACCATGCCAACCACTGTAGCTGCAGTTTCTGGGGGAGGGGAGGGAGTACCACATGTGTTTTTTATCCTTATCCACACACATACCTACTGAAAAGGAAAAGCCAGGAATGTCAGGAAGTCTCCACCACCAGTCCTTAACAGAACTGTGCACATTTCTGGAGATGCACAAGTGAAGATAATAATAACAATCCTGGTCCCCATCTCTTCCCCCCACCAGACATCCCTAGATCTGTATGATTCAAACCTTATGGGTAGCCATCAACAGTTCAGTGCTTTGCTCACAAATGGGAGTGGGGAGAGAGATGAGTGGGAAAGAGGCTGGTAAAGTGAAAAGAGGGTCAAAATTCAATGAAGAAGCTGGTATCCATCCCAGGTTCTCAGCTTTTCCATGTTCCATTAAAATTGTTAGAGGTTAAGGGGTAGAAAGGACTTGGGGACTGTAAAAAGGTAGGTTTCTTAAAATAATTAAATTGCTACCTCACATTAAAAATAAAATAAAAACCTACTTAGCAGTCTCAGAATGAAGAGGACATAGGAAGGAACTGGAATGAGGAAGCAGCAGGGTGGGGCTTATTCATGATTGCCTCAAGCCCAAACCTGAAGGCAACCACCAAGCTCTGCCCTTGGTGAGCCACTAAGGAGAAGGAAAAATGGGACGGGATTCAAAGGCCTTGACCTGCAAACTGGAGGACACGTTGAGCTTTCCTTGAGCTGTGTGCACACGTGCATGGGGACAACAGCAATGGCTTTTTGAATGCACATGCACCCAGTTTTTAGAATCAGTTAAGGGCCGCATTCATATTTCAGTGTCCTCGTGTGCTTTCTGTGCCGCGTGTGCAAAAGGTTTGATGTGAAGCACACTGTCAGCCCTCCATTGTTCAGTGTAAAACCTACAGCCACAAACTTCCCCAGACTAGGCAAGCAGGAAAACTCTTCCAAACTAGCTGGCAGGAAATATGGTGACCGTCACAGCTGTGAACAGAGGGAGCATAAAGTACCTCTCAGTGGTGGCTGGTGCCCATTGGGACTAGTAAAACAGAAGGCAGAGCAGCCTACAGTAGGTGATGCCAAAGCCAATGGCAGGCATGGCCAGCTAATTTTGTCTCCTTCCTCCTCCTGACTCAGATGAAGGAAGAGGAAACCTGCAGCCAGAGCCACTCCCTGGATTGGATGTAAGTGAGGAAGTAGACAGATGGGAGCTAACTAAGGGCAGACTGAGCTCAGTGGGGCAGTGCCCCGTTCCACCCAACGCACTCGCTGCAGCTGGTACCTCTGCGGTTACATTTGTTGAAGAAAGATCACAAATTTGCACATACCCTCTGCTTTCCAGAGTATCCTTGGTATGAGAAAATCCAGACTGAGGGAGAGGAACATGTGTGGAGGTAGCAATTTGGAGGAGGTCATATGGACAATGGCAAATTAATGGAGGTGCAGGAAGCTTATAATCCACTTCAGACAACAGTATGGATGAGCCTCATGTGGCTGAACTAGAGTAGTGGCAACGAAGATTAATCAGTGATATATCCAAAGCCATTTTGAAGTCGTTAATCTGAAGTCTCTGGGAAGCTGGGAGCTGGCACTTTTCCCATCACCTGGGCTGAGGATTCCTTCCCCTTTTGTAGCATGCCAAACCAGCTGCTTCTTAACTGGCTGTGGCACATCTGGAAAGTGTGCAAAGTCCAGTGGGATTTGGTGAAACCAAGGAGCCCAGCTCCCCAACAGTTGCTAATGCAACTATTTGCTTACTGTTTTATCCAACTGTGTCGTACTGCAATTGCTTTCTGTATGCTCGGCCTTTTAAAAATATTTTGCTGATTTTGTGTTTTACTGATAATTTTAGAGTGTACACCACTTAAGACAGTTTTATGATTCAGAGGTCTATACAAAATAAGAATAAATAAATGTAACATACTGAAGGTTTGAGGGAGGCTGAGGAGAACAACGTAGAAAGCTGCCTTATAGCGAGTCAGACCATTGCTCAAACCTGTCTACACTGACTGGCAGGGGCTCTCCAGGATTTCAGAGTATCCCTGCCTGGAGATACCAGGGATTGAACCTGGGCCCTTCTGTATGCAAGGCAGATGCTCTGCCCCTGAGCTATAGCCCTTCCCCTAAGAAGTAGGTTATTATTCTAGAAGCCAGCCAGGTTTACAGATGGGTAGATTTTAAAGCAGATCCCTGAAGCATTGTGAATAAAAGGATGCAAGCGATCTAAGATGGTGATGAAGCCAACCTAGGTGGAATAGTTCCCCCAGAATGCCCAACGATGCATCATACAGGGTACAGGAGAAAGACAGCCCTCTTGAGCACCCCTACCACCCCCCAAAAAACCACATCCCTATTACCCACCTCCATGCACTACAGGTAGACATGAAGTGCGGCCATCTACAACACAGTCTCACCATTTCTACACCATTATCAGAGCAAGAGGCAATATTTCAGGAACACTTCTGTTCAGATTTCTTACCAGAACTACATTTTAGCTAGTGACTACACAAGTGGGTGCAAAGCACAACCACATTCAGCATGGCCATGAGCATCCCTGCACAAGAAATGTCTGGGCACAGCACACAACCCTTAGCTCCAAGCAGTTTAGATCAGCGTAGTTCACAAGCTTTCTCCTCAGCGCTAGAACTGCAGTGTACATCTCTCCACTGAAAACAATTACAGGTATGCAGCCCACAGCCCGCTTCAACACAGATACTATCAGAGGAAACAGAATACCACCTTCTCTAGAACCACCTGACACCTTGTCTTTACAGTGTACAGCCCTTCTCCAAAGACAACCACAGAATACAGCTCTCCATCAAAATTGGGCACAAAGTATAGCCTTATGCAAGAACACTATTAACAGTAGACTGAAGCTGCCACATTCCAGAGCAGGGAAGAGACCTTCTTATTCAACAGCTGCACAGCAGGCAGAAACTGAAGCTTTTCCCTGTATGGAGATTCAGTGATGAGCAGCAACTCATTTCTCTCTGGCATGCTACACAGGAGCCCTGTCAGAGGGGTGAATTGGCAACCTTGGGAGAGCAGCTTATTCCATTGTTACAGGTAAGTGGAAATCAAGTTCAGCCACTTAGGGTTAGCACCAAGAGCATGGATGTAAAACCAACAACAGTGGATGAGAAATAACATCCCAACTGCACTGCCACTCCCCACCCCACCCCAACAACTCCAAGGTACCTCTCAGGAAATACCATTAATTTTCACAAGCAAATAATGAGTTCAATGGGAGCTGACTCCCAAGTAAGCACAACAAAAGTGCCTGGAGATGCCTCCGAGTTCATGTACAGATTTATAGCACAACTCTAGACACAAGTCTCATCTCTTCACTGAGGCTTCTCTCCCATAAGGAACAAGACGACCACCAGCTCCGCATATAGATTGCAGTCTAATAATGGCAAGCAAACTTTGCAGGTGCAACTCCCATACAAGTCATCCTTTGGCCATCCCCCGCCCACAATATGTTTGGTCTTCTTCTGTAAGGGCCAAACACTGTGTGATGTCCCTCCTACTGGGTGGCCCTCGGAGGTGCACAGATATCTCCCCCATCCACCCCTAGTGGGCAGGCTGCGCGCACGCACGCCAAGCGCGCGCCCCGCCTGCAGCCCTCTCCCCCCCCCCCCCCGCCGCCCGTCCCTGGCACTCCAACAACAGGTGGGCAGGGCCCTGCGCATCGCCCGCCTGACTCACCGCTGGCGTTTTTCCCGCAGATGAGGTGCTGGTAAGGCTGCAGCAGCCCCCACAGCTCCGAGTCGTTGTTGACCGTCTGCTCCAGGGACTCCAGCGTAAACTTTGGCGCTTCGTTGCTGTGGTGGTGGTGGTTGTTGGCGGCGGCGGCGGCGCTGCTGCTGCCGCTGCTCTCTCGGTCCTTGTTGTCCGAAGCGGCGGCAAGAGCGGCTCCAGGAGCCGGAGGAGGTAGAGCGGCGGCGGCGGCGGCGGCGCCCGAGCACTGGCCCCGGTGGTGGTGCGGTGGCGGCGGCGGCGGCAGCTGCGGGGGGTTGTTTGGGTGCTGTTGCGCCTGGAGGTGGTGCAGGTGGTGGGGGTGCTGCTGGGGGTGGGGCGCGGCGGCCCCGGCGCCCAGCTGCAGGACCCTGGCGTAGATCTCTCGGAAGAGGTTCTCCATGCAGGCGGTCAGGTAGATGGCGGCGTGCTCGTGGATGCGCACGGCCACCCGGCTGTCCACCATCCAGCGGTAGAACTTGCCCACCGAGAAGGTGAGGCCGCAGCGGGTCGACTTGCCTCGGCTGAAGCGGTCGCCGCCGCTGCTGCTCATGTTGTAGAGCGAGAGCGCGCCCAGGGCGGCCGCCGTGCAGCTGGAAGCCAGGCTCCAGCCCAGGACGATCTCCATGGCGCTCTGCACCTCGTACCTGGTGCACTTGGCGAAGCGCAGACTCAGGCGCTGAGCCTCCCGGGCCAGCCGGACGAGCGCGCGGCTGACCAAGGTGGAGAGTCTGGCCAGGGCATCTTTGGAAGGGGGCGCTCCGCCGCCGCCGCCGCTGCTGATGGTGGTGGTGGAGCTGGCGACGCTGCTGGAGCTGGCGGCGGCGGCGCCCACCCCCACCGGCCCCCTGGCCTCTTTGCGCTGCAGGAGGAGGAGAACCGCCTCCACCTCGTCGAGGCTCCAGGGGACCTCCTCAAGGTCAGGCAGCAGCCTGGAGCAGTGCTGCTCGGCGCAGTCCAGCACTTCGGAGTCTTCCACCAGGACAGTGTTGACGGTGTCAAAGCTGTTGTGTCTACTGTGCATCGAGTCAGTTAGATGCTGCCAGCCGTTTCCTCCATAGGGGTGAGCCGCGTGGGGGGAATCGGAGCAGCACAGAGACAAGTTGGAGGACCGGACGGAGTCTGCCGCACCACCATAACCCGAGTCGAGGGTCAGATCTTCCAGCGTCCTCACCACCGTCTTACCTCTCCTTGCCATCGCTGCACTTCATACTGCACCAGCAGGAAACTTTGAGAAGAGAAAGTAACAGACCTGCGCCGCCCTCCTCCTCCTCCTCTCTCACGTACTTATTTCGCAGCTTCCTCGCTTTGGCACGCGCGCAGAGCAGCTCCTTCGCGATCAAAATAAAGAAATGCCGCCGCCACCCGCAAACGCGATGCGCACAGGCATGGGAGAGCGCGCGCGAGCGAGCGCGGCCAAAGGATCGCGGCGTCGAAGGTCCCTCGGTCTCTTCCCCAACTCCCGGCGGCGGCAGCAGCAGCGTTGGCCGCCTCGGGTGCTTGTCTCCTCCTCGGTTCCCTGACTCCTGCACTGCACTAGCCCGCAAAACCCAAGCCAACCAAAGAACGGCAGAGGCGGGAGGGGCGGCTGGGAGAAGAGGCGAGGCTAATGCAAATCGCACGCAGAGAGATCCAATGGGAGCGCCGATGCTAATTTCATTGCTACCTTTCTCCCACCCAACCCTCCCTCTCCCCTCGCGTCACTTTCCCCTCCCCTTCTCCCCCTCTCTTCTTTTTGGAATTCGTAGTGGGATCCACAGGCTCTCCGAGCCTTCTCGCTCTCGCTCTCTCCCACGTTCGCTTGGGTGTGATGAGCTGGAAGTGGGTGGTGGGTTTCCTTCGTCGCTGTCTCGAGCCCGCTCCAGTGTGATTTCATTTGTCTTTCTCCGTTACTCTGCAGTTGAGAAGTGCGGGGAGAGAGAGAGAGATGAGGGGAAGGTAAAATAGGGCCAAAAGTGAGAGAGAGAGGAACCCGCAGGATATATTTAGCTGATCCAAAATAGACGATGGGAATGAGCAGCAGTGATTTATGTTTGCTGGACCAGCCCTACAAATTCCAGACTTGGCATGTATTTATTTCTCTGAAGCAGGTAGTAGAAATTAGAAACCAAGATACGAAGGCTGCAGCAGCGGCAGCTGCAGATTCTTGCCGGAGTGCCTGTTGTCTCCCCCCTTCAAGTTGCTTTGCACACTACAGCCCTGAAATATTAGCATTCCAGCTCAGAGCCAGGAAACCTTTTTGGGATGTGTGGCATCTCCTCTGCAGGTGAGGACCTGTAGTCTCATGCGTTTTCCTTAATGTGTGCTGTGGGGCTGCGGGAGGTGTGTGAAGGGATCCGAGCACCGTTGGCACTGGCTACAGAATGCATCGTTACAGGGGAGCCCAGATGGCGCAGCAACACGTACTTCAAAACAAGGAGGAGGGTGAAGAAAAAGAGCCTCTGCGTGGTGCAGAGTAATGGATTTGCTCGAGCCTTTCCCAACCAGCCCAAGATTATCTAACGCCAACTCAAAACACGAGCCCTCGAGGTGCCTGGTTGTAATACACATACATCCCAATCATGATTATGATGCTTTGTATTGATAGTTTATGTTTAATCCTGAGCTGCCTTGGAGGACGCAGTTCACTGTGGGGAAACTGTGTGCAGGTTACATTAAACTGAAAACGAAGCACTTCCCAGAAATATCTTGGCACTGGGATGCAGAAGCTGTAGCCTTCCAGATGCTGGCTCCAAATCTGCCCCCCCCCGACTGTTGCCCCTGCTAGCTGGGGCAGATGGGAGTTGGAGTCGCAACCTCTAGAGGGCTGCAGGCTTTCCCCAGCCTTCTGTCATCTATCCTTTAAGCCAGGATGTCAAACCTCAGGCCCTGCTGGGTTATCAGATTTGATACAGAGCATCTCAGTGCATTCTACACGATGGAACCGTTTCAGAGCCAAGAAGCCCCAAATGGGGAATGGCATTAAAAACAATGGCATCTAGTACTCCTGATGCTTCCGCATGGCTGAGAAGAAACTCAGCAATCTCAGTGTATTTCAGTGACTATTTGGAAAGGAAGGACACTTGCATGTCCACTTGGGGGTTTGCCTATAAAGCCCACTATTTAAACAGCAAAAGATCTTGCAGTGCCACCAAGATCCACTGTAACCCTACATTTACTCAAGATTTTAGATTGTAAGCACCTTGGGGCAGGGACCTGCCATCCTGTACTGTGTAAAGCACCAGCCACACTGGTGTTTGTGTCAGAAACAGCTGGTGCAGCAGCTCCCTGCTCACGCTGTCAGCTCAACAGTCAGCTGCAGAGGTGAGCCAAACAGCCTAGAAGAGGCTGGGCAGGGAAGTCCCACAAGAGAGTGAGATACACGCAAACAGCCAGGGGCTAAAAGCACAGCAAGCAACACATTTAGAGGCAGTTCCAAGAAGGGAGAGAAAGAAAGCAGTACAGATAACCATTTACAGCAGCCTTCCGCAGCCACAGGTAAGCTCGCCCACATAGGAGGAGGGGCACTGACATAAAAAGGGCACCAGAAGATGGCGCTTTGCCAAGGGCCTTCTCAAACCTGGAGGCAGCCCTGGCAGGCAACATGCTTCACCCACAAACTTTTCACCTGAACCTGGCACACTGGCTGCCCAGGAATTCTTCTGCTCTCGACACACTGGATTAGCTAATTCGCCAGTGGGAGTGGTTGCAGCACCTTCAGGAGACCAGGTCCAGAACTAAGAAGAGGTTGCAGAAAGTAAAGGCATGACCAGTGGCAGGACAAGAGGGTAGAGCTCAGAGGCAAACAGTGTAGACCTGGACAGATACCCTGCATCTTCGGGGGCAATATTTTTGAAGGGTGAAATAGAAATGTATTTGTCATCTATTTGCCATCAGAGACAGTGAGTCAGCAGATCCCTTTAAAATATAGTTTTATTTGGAACTGCTTATGATTTGAGACAGTTCAGGTTCCTACTCTGTGTTTTATGTTACTGATTTATGTGCTACTCTCTCAATGGTTACCATCAGCATTCATTTCCTTGTCCATCTTTTCTCAAGTTTGCTCCTTTTTCTGTTACTGTTTATTTTTTAAAAGAATGTCTTAAATAAAGAAAACAAGTAGCAGATTTTGTCTCCCTCTATGGGACAGCAATTAGTCATGCCTGTCCCAAGCATACTGATCTGCCAGGGGGAAATGTCTGAGCAAATATTAATTATAACATGCAATAATTTCCCTGCAGAAATTCAGATTAGATTTCACCTGAAGCGACATAGATTAGATTTCACACAGCACACGTAAATAAAGAAGAAACTGACAGGAAGTTCACACAAATAGGAAATGCCACTGAGCTTTTCAAAGGCCCTTCCTAATGGGTTAGATTCCAAAATGGGAGTCCAAGAACCATTTTTTAGAATTACAATTAATAGTTAAATAATGAACACACTAGATATTACAGTAAACATACTGGAACAACTAGAACTGATGGAAAGGCTTTTGTTGACTCTCACAGCAAGAGTCCAGTGTGGATACTGTAGCTTTTGTTCCGTAACAGGAACAAATAAGGTCAAAATAACAAATCAGAAAGTAGAAATGTTTGAGGGCCTCTGTTTCCTGGGATGGAAAAACACTTTGGGTTTCTAGTCTGATGTTGTTGCTATTTTATTGATGATGATGGATTCCATCTATATTAGACACTCCCAAACTGCCTGAGCAGAACTAGGATGTAGCTGACCTCAACATTTATTTCCTAAAGTTTATTTTGCTCGGTGTCAGAAAGAAGTGAGCCAGGCATTTCAAAGTCAATCCATCCATCTGGACAGCAAACAGAGGCAGCTTCCACAAACCATACCAGGAGGAACATAACACTGACAGTGCCCCCCCCCCTTATGTGTCATTATTTGGTCAGGGTAATGAGAAACGGATTGTGGGTGGAGGCCCACCCTTAAAAGGGGAGTAAAAATGAACTCAGCCAAAGGTTAGCTCCCTTCTCCACCCAAGAATAACTAAATCACTGTAAACAAAACAGTAAGAGGTCAGCATAGTTTATACTATGGAACAAGCCCAACATATATCTCCTTTGATGCAAGAGTTATTCCCCCCCAGTTTCTCTAGCCTCTGATTGATATCTGTTTTTATTAACCAAAGGTGTTATATTTTCATAACTCTTGTGGAAACACTTTTTAATCATTTATAAACATTCGCCTTATACTCATAACCATCAGTATAAACTGCAGTGATTAACTAAAGTAAGATCACATGACTTAACTTTTAATTGCATCTGCCCAGGCAAGTCTGGTCCAACCATTAGGCAGAGTGAGGCAATCACCTCAGATCTCATGTGCTGGGATGCAACATACCAACAACAACAACTATTATTATTTATTTATTCCTTACACCCCACCTATCTGACTGGGTTGCCCCAGCCAATCTGGGAAGATTCCAACATAAATATGGGGAAAACAACAACCACAACAATAACATCAAGCATTAAAAGCTTCCTGAAACAGAGGTCTACCAAAAATTATGCCGTTTTTTAAACTCTTTTACATCTGCCAGGAGGGCATCCCACACGGTGCGTATGACTACCAAAACAACCTTCTGTCTGGTTCCCTGTTGTTTCACTTCTCACAGTGAAGGAACCGCCAGAAGGCCCTCAGAGTTGGACCTCAGTGTCCAGGCTGAACAATGGGGTGGAGACGTTCCTTCGGGTAAACAGGGCCAAAGCCACACAGGGCTTTAAAGGTTAACACCAACACCCCACCAACTCCTCTTGAACCCTGGCCATCTACAGGCCTGTCATACACCTCCTAAACTAGCCTGCTGCCCACAGGTGCCCTTGAAGATGTCATTCCATTGTCAAGGCTGAAACAAGATTTACCTACAAGTCTAGTCAGCTTCTGTACATGGAACGAGCACGGGGCACCATCTTGTCTTTTGCCTCATGTAATAAACGGTGTTGGTCAGGCTCTCTGCCCAGGAAAGCATGTGAAAGGACTGGTGGCCTTGGCATTGGGACTTGTTAGTAGTCCCCCATGGGAATTTGCCCAAGAGCCTTTACCCTTTCCTCAAAATGGCCCTCTTGTGAAACTAGGGGCATAAAACAGGTCCACAGACTCATTCTGCTTTGTGTAAAAGACTAAAACCACATTCACACCATGCATTTAAAGCACTATGATACCTCTTTAAACACTCATGGCTTACTCCCAAATGATTCTGAG